ACAAAAAATATAGTGTAAAGAAAAATGTTCAATTTGTCCGGATTTTGGCCGTGCACCCTGTATATCACGAGAGAGCTCTCCTGTGAGTTTTCCTGACATTTGGTCCAATTGAAATTTCATTATTTCTCTGAATCGATTTATACAATTTGTTTCCATGAGCGACCGCCAATCGGCGTGTGAAGAAAGACATTTGTAGGTGGAGATTTGTGATGTTCTGATGAAAGCGGTTAACAAATTTGGTTTGCACTGCTACTTTTCTTTGCACACGCCTGTTAATATTGATTTTAGGAGTTGTCTGTACTGTTCCTACATCTATTTCTGATAAGTGTTCTTGAACCAGCATTAGTAATGAAAATTTAGAATGCTTGTCACGAGTGCCTCCATAAAAGTTCAAACAGATGATTGATGAAAGTCTCAAAAAGAATAATGTTGTTATAGATTGTGTACTGAGTTTTGCAACAAAAAGGGCGCTTCCTCTTTTAAAAAGTTTGGTGTTTTTCCGCCTTCTTCCCACTATTACAACATTGAAGATAGAGATTTTTCCTTCAAGTAAATTGTTTATTAAAATTAGTTCTTTCATGAACGTCGTGTACATTTTTTTGCAAATTTTAGTATTCACCAATATTGCGTGCAATATGTGCAATATCAAAAATAATAATTAAAAAGATGATTTTCTCGAAAACGGCTCAATTTGATTTTCGTTACAATTTAGGTAGGATTAGCGCTAAATGTATTCTATGAGATGACATAAACGCCATATTACTCTATTCTATTGTTTTTTGAAAATTATTGTAGTTGCGCAATTTTGAGTGAAATATGTGCAATATTAAAAAAATTACTTTAATTTTCTTTCTCAAAAACAGCAACATTTTTTCTTTAAAATTGCAGTAGGGGTAGTGCTAAATGCACTCTAAAACAAGACATAACCGTTCTTTGCTCTATTTTGTGTTTTCCTCATTTACGAAAATGTCAGTTTCTTAATATATCTCTCACGTTGTAATTAATATTTGCAATGGAGACGCATATTCACATTATTGCATTTATGAGAACATGTGGTGTAAATTCAGTCATATAAATTTTCTCGAAAAGTCATTACTTTTCTGTGAAAATTAGATCAAAATTCCACTGTTTGTCAAAACGGAATTCGATATTATTGAAATTCTTCCTTTAAACTTTTCGTACGGATAGTGCTAATTGTGCTGTTTAACATCACATTTTGCTGAATCCTTTTGTTTTTCAAATTTGAAATATCTCTCACGCCGTTAATTTGTGAGTGAAAATGCTTCAAATGACTTCTAATGAAGAAGTTTTGAATCTCAAAAGTTTTCTGTGAGGAAGAAATTCAACTCTCTCATTTACATTAACGTGTAAACGACTTTTTCGTAAAAGCTGCTCCAGTTATATTTGGGTTCTACCATTAGAAAACCGAAAAATTTAGAAATTTTCATAAACATTTAATTTGAGTGGAGATGCAGGAGGATGCAAGAGGGGAAAATTTCCTGACCAAAGAAATAAGAAAACTAAGTAGGACGAGAAAGTCATATTGTCAAGTCATACTCATGTCTGTACTGATAAAAAAATTCCTAGCTGTCTTCATTTGTTTTTTACCTCACTCTCCATAGTTTTGTCATTTTAATTTGCTTGTAGCCTGTTGGTCCTAATTTGCATCCTATTTTACTTCTCTGGTTATTTTATATTGGGATTTGTACTTTGATTTGCCACCTGCCCCGATTTTCAATGGGAAGCTCATAAAAGCGTTTAAATGAATTGGGTGTATTGCGCGGAGTCTCTGGTGGAAGGGCGGGTTGGAGATGGGAATGGGGATGTGGGATGTGGGTGGAGGTCGCGTGTAGTACGTGGGTTCGAGTCCCTTCCTCGAGGCGCATTGAGGCGGAGGCTTCTTCATTAGAAGCACCGCGCCACCTCTCGTCCCCCTCCCTCGCGGAGTCTCGCGGCGCTGACGGCGCCAGAATATTAACCCACGCGAGCTCAGAGGCGTGTGTGATCCAAATTAAAAGCCCGCCGCCTCCCCTTGTCCTTTTTCACCACTATTACTACCATTTCCACCATCACCGCCGTCTCGTCCTTCTCCTCTCCTTCCTCCTAATCGTTCTCCTTCTCCACCATTCTCATCATCGTCTCTTCTTTCCCCTCCTACTCCACTTTCTCCTTCCAAAAAACACAAAAGGTGTAAGTGGACGTAAAACACGAATACCATACCCATTTGAATGTCTTGGTACACATAGGAAAAAACATTCGTTAAATATATTTTCTGTCAGAACAATTGAACGAGATCTCGGCTTATCTATTATATTCAATCCTCTGCTAGTACCCTCGATAACCCGCCATTTGGCATTTCAAATTATCGTATTGTTTTTACGATACTCTCCTGTTCTTAAAACAATCTTTCTTCAATGTTATTGTACACTGCAGAAATTAAATTTTAGTTTCGAATATATCCTTTTCGAATACAAAATTTTATATACAAGCAATTCATTTAATGTATTATCATTTACTTAAGTGATTCAGAAATTGTTTATTAATATATGGACATAAACCTATAACAGAATATGAATACTTCATTTTGATTAATAACAAAGATATTTTCAATTAAGACCAACGCATTTCATCACAATGTCTGTCACCACGTCCATCCTGCAATCTTGTTCTTCCTGATAGTTCTGGCGGTACAGCGCTTGATGATTCATCCCGCCGCTCTTCCTACACTCCGTCTCCTGTTGCGTACTCGACGTCGCCGACGACACTCGCGTTTTTACGCGGACACACACGCTTTTCCCATCTACAGCAACTCCCCTCTCATCCACTCTTATGCCACGGCCTCTATCACCACTCCCTGCGGCGTTCTGCCACGCTCCCTCCTCGCTCCCGCCACCTCCCAACGTGATTCCGCTGCGCTCCCCAAAGCTCGGACGGAAGAGTAGGGGTCAGTCTCGCCACGTAAAATAAGGCATCAATTCAATTGAACTCAGTTCAAGCCCCTAGTCCCACCCTTTCATTTTGCCCCTTCCCTGTGGTCTCACACGCTGCGTCACCACACCGCTCCGTCCGGCCCTCTTCCACACCTCCCCGCCCGTTCAATTTCTCCCAAAACCACCGTATCATGGCGCCGCCAAACCGGGGGAGGTGGCTCACGGCATGAGCTCATGTCACTGCAGTGCCTGTAACCGGGAGAGTCTGGGCTCCAGTCCCGACGATGACAAGATTTTCGACACTATTTCTGCCGCTGAGTAGAAGAGGATTCTAGCGGGCAGTTGCTCTGATTAGTAGATTCCCGTTGTTTGTCCGGTCAACACCAGGTTAATGGCGTAGCAGTACCTAACCGACTACGGTCTGCGCGCGATCATTCCTTCCTCTTCCTTGTTCTATCCTCGCCCCCTTACTTGCATCCACATTAACAGGCTTACCACATTAACAGGTTTAGGCCGGGAGATCGGCCGGGAGCTGAGAGCTTGTCGTGGTTGGGTCGGTTTCCCGCTGGTGGAAGATACCTGGTCGGGGAAAACTTCGCAAGCAGACGCTACATCGACGCTGGATCTCGCCGTTCGATGGGAAATATCCCCGCCCCCTCCCGACGTACAACATGCGCTATTTTTACCAGAGTTATGACATTAGTCGTAGATTCGACTGAAATTATCACCCGGAATCTGACTCCACCAAGCGATCAATCCGACCTCGCCTCTCCCCACCCCGCTCCGCGCCGCCCCCGCCCCCTACGGTTGCACATCAGGCCGCAAGCGCCACGCGCAGAGTTCGATGTTCATGAGGCCGTGTGCCGCTTCTGCAAGATGAAGTGAGCGGTGGGAGGATTGATAGGCGGTTTTGATAAGAACCATTAAAATTGATTTAATTACTATCGGTTCAATTCACTTTATTGCAATCGTTCAATTTACACTGGTAGAACTCGTGCAGGCGTATTAGACATTGCGAAAGGCTTACAAGAAACCTGTGGAAATCATCTAGGTTTTGGTAGAGAATAGCGTTCTTGCAGCGTTGAAATACAACGTAATAAAATACTGGAGTGGACAAAAGAGGAGAAGATTAAGACCGTTAGAGAGAGAAAGAGAGAGCGAGAGAGGGAGAACATGAGTACGAGAGATATCGTACGAGTATTTTTACATGATTCTGTCACTCCATGTCTCCGTTCCCTGACATTCAATCATGATCTATTTTCTTTCTTGTGTGAATTACTTTGTACTTTAACATGGATATTAGTTCCCATCAACTGAAATATTAAATTAACTAAAAGAATACCCATGATTACTTCTATAAACTCGCAATTAAAACTAAATATAAGTCGATGGTTTAAACCCAAATTACTTAAAAGCGATCTAATGCTCTTTCCAATTTTTTGCTTAACTCTTATCTTACAGAAATAACGCTGCGATTCAGTACTTAGTGTTGTATAGCAGCGTTTTATAAGAGAATACAAAAACTGTTATCGGAAATCATTTTCCAATATTGTGAGCGTAAATAAATTAACACCACCACAATCAATACACTCTTCTTGGCCTCCCGTGTCTCCAGCTCAGTACTTTGCTCGTTTACGATGACCTAAAAAGATGCCTCCTATCGTACATCCATTTAGTACAAGGCGCTTTCTTGCTGCGCGATCCAGGTCACTTCTCTCCTTGGCGCAGCGCTTGATGCAAAACGCCCCGGACATCGCCGCATCTATTCATTCCCGGGCCGTCGTCTCGGCGCAGTAAATCACGGCTTCTTCCCGCTGCGCGAGTTTAAGGGCGAAGCGCATTAGCCGCGCGGGCGCCCGCCGCGTCGAGGAGACAGGATAAGCTCCTGAAGGATGCCTCGTTGCGGGGTGCATTCTTTCCCTTGACACACTTTCGCGCTTACCTTTCCGAATGGAAATTAAATCAGCCGGTGAAACAGCGTGTTCGGAACGCCATCTGGCTGAACACTCGGAGATCGTTTAATTGCGGAGTGAATGTTGTATACTTTCACGAGGGATTGATAAAACCTGGTTACCTTAGAAATCAGCTGCTGAAGAGATAAGTAAAGCGACGGTCTTGTTAGAGTCAGTAATATCAAATCGTGCATCAGTATGCACGAATTACTGCACGAATATATGCACCTATTGCCAATATATGCAAAATCATGCATTATGAAACTTCATATTGTAACGTACTAGCGAGCGAACCTCGTGACAGCTATTTGAAGACGCGTGGTAAGGGGAAACCGCCTCGCCACTGTAGGGACAGAAGGGTTTTTCCTAAAGGCCAGCACGCGGCAAAGGGAGACACGAGGCTTTGGGATTCTCCGATCTTAAGGAACGGACACTCAAACCTCATGCAACCAAAGGGCACTGCGGGAGCGGCGTGACGTAGTAGATCACGTGAGCCTCGAGTATGTAAGGGAGTGCACAGAGCCAGTGGGTGGGTTCTGGAGAGTCTCGTGCAGCTGCACAAAACTTGTCGCCACGAAGATGCCTCGGCGAGCAGGGCACGTGTTGACGAGCCTGTGGAGGACTTCGTGTCCTTGGGTGACTGCGGCCACGTGGGAGCGATGCTGTGTGCGTGCTCCGCGGTGAGGAGTGGTTGAGGGCTGCGACACGCAGCCGATTCTCAATCGGGATCCTGCGATTGAGGCAAACCATCTCTTGGTACGGACTTTGTGTCCTAGTGTGACATCCGGTCACGGAAGCTTGGCTTTGTGAGCGCTTCAGAAGTACGAGTGGCGAGTGCCACAATTGAAACTGATCATCAATCGGGTTAACATCGTTCCCGCGATCAGGGGATAGCAGGTCTATCAGAGCTAGGGTGTAAAGTGTATGTTCGTTGTAAATATTTGTTGTGTTTTCCTTGTAAATAAATATTTGTTATATGAAAGCTCGTGTCTTTGTTTGCTGTGAGTATCCATGACGACACAATATCATGCTTTTTTGGGGAATGAATCGTATTTTCTTCAAAAAAAAAAAATCATTTGGTCTCGAGGAATCCAATATACAAATGTGACAAAATATGCCCTCTAGTGATTAGAAACGATTCTTTGTGTTGCTTTCTAATTTGTTTTGAAAGTATATTATTAAATATTAAAATACTTTTTTATTTTCTTTCAAGAGATTATTAACAATCAAAGATGAAGAAAATAGTTGAAGACACCAAAATATTATTATAGTAATGTATTTTTATATTAAATCGGTAGTTTTAAACGATCTACAATAACATTAATTAAATGAATGCATTTTCAGAAAGCAAAGTTCTCCGCTTACATTGCCTCATTAAATGAATTTCATAAGCTTTCCTTCCGAAAACTTTACCAGTCTTCCGAGATTTCATCTCTGAGTTGCACGTGGAATGATCTAATGAGTTTCTACTGCAAGTTTGGAAGGCAGGAATTCACTACGACAAACGTATCTCCAGTGCTTGGTAGCGGATAGTGGATTATGCGGGCATTCCTGTGCTATACACGGCACGAGTCCCGACAGTGGCAGGATTTCCGACACTAGATACATTGCCACGTCGAATTCAGTCGTGGTCGGGGGGGGGGGCATAGCGACCGGCTGCTCTGATCGATAGTTTTCTGTGTTTTCTTCGATCAATACCAGGCGAATGCCGGAGTAATACCCTAACGGACCTTGGATTACTCACCATGTTTCCTTCCTCTTCCTTGCCCTGTTCTCAACTCGGTCACTCACATGAACATGCACTGCACTATCACACGCATTAGGAGATCAGTCGGGAGTTGTCCCGATTGGGGTGGTGCCCCGCTGGTGAGAGATACCTGTTTGGGAAAACCCGTCAAGGCGACGCGTTAGTCGGCGCCGTTTGTCACAATTCAGCGGTCAAAGATCACCGCCACCTCTCGTGATGAAAACATCCACTACACTTTTGAGAGTGACGGCAATAGCCATTCACGCGTCGGGAAACAAACAATAAATATCTAAAATAGCTAAAATAAACGTCGGATAGATTAGAATGTACTCGGCTTCTGACGGCAGGTTTTTCCCCCTTCAGGGGTTTTTTCCTGAGCCGTACCTTGTGGTCTCTTTTCCGCGGTTTTGATGCGATGGAGAGACCATTTGGGGTGAATACCAGAATTCGAAAGATTAGAACGCGAAAGGATGTAGGTATTGTAATGGCTTAAAGGCCTTCGGTCTAGCCACATAGGATCAAGTAATCTAATTCGTTTGAAATAATTACCTATTAAATAAATAAATAAAATAAACAAACAATAAATCAAGAGAGTATGAGAGTTTGGGCGAGTGTTTGCTGGTATGTGAGAATGAGTGTTTGCTTGATTGTGAGTCTGAGTCAGTGTTTGTGTGCATATGCGCTTTTGTGTGTAATCTTGAATTGTATGTGTACATGAAATTTGAGAAAGCAAGCAATTATTTACTCATGACAGCAGGGAACAACAATGAGTCCTGACAGTCTTTTAGTCCTTTTACATGCCGTCTTTGCCAGCCCAGGTCACGCGATAAGCTAATCTCAGAAAACAGGAATAGGTCATAATGTCACGGCCGTAAAAATGTGGTTCGAAAATGCAAGGACTATAGGCAGACAGAATCTGTGCATATACGTTAGCGTATAGTTGTTGCTACATGTCCATGAACGAAGCTTCGTAGATCGGGAGTGTGCCGCCTCACACATACATTTTACCTCTTAGACGAAAGTTGTAGGCTCGATAGGGTTATCCTGGTAGCGAATTTTCGACATCCGACAAATAACTGGGTCTCATGATGCGTTTCGTTTAATGAGATGATCGCTTCCAGTGGTTGGCTCCTTTGATTGGCTCCTTCCCCTCATTTCTATGGAGCACTCCCCTATGAACAAGTAATAGATCACACAATTATCTTCTTGCTCCATCCCATCACCACCGTAAATGTGGGAAGGTGGGGAAATAAGCTCATTACCCATCCCTATATTGCTCACACACATGATACGGAATCACACCAACAGTCGTCACAGATAGGGAAACTCTGAAGATGCAGAATGCATCAATAGCAGATTGCTTACAAATGCTGTGGTGGTACCAAATGAAGGTAATAACGATCTTCGAAACTTTCTTAGAGATGACAGGAGGGAAATAATGTAAGTGAATTTGAAACAAGCGACTTGACAACTATCATTAATAAATAAAACAGACACGTCTATAGGAGAATCAGAAGCATTTTTTATACTTATAGTGTACAAATAGTTATTTAATTCGTAATTAAGAATAATTGCCAGTGCACGGGCGGCAGCAATATGAGCTGTTAAAAACTGTCTGTTGACTTCTGTCCGTCGTATCGCATTCTCTCGTCCGGATTAAGAGCTGATTATCCATTCTTACATAGATCATCATCCACGACAAAAAAGTCGGAGATACCCCCAGAATTCGATGGTAGTAGGAAAACGAGGAGTGCTTGTCTCGAATGTTTTACAAAAGGCAGGGTATTCGAGCCAATAAACGAGTTGGAGGTCTGACTGCAAAGTGTGAGAGGAGGATCGGAGTGCAGGGGTGGGGGTGGGGGGATACGGGTTGGGCGGGAGCGCCGGGAGATCTCGCAGACAACGGAACCGAAGCCACGCCGCGCTGAACCACGCCACAGGCCCGACGTACCCCGCACGGTGGATTGGAAAGCACATAGTGCGGCCAAAATTCGTTTTTAGCGCTCGTGCCTGGAAACTAGTACCTCCGTTCACTGATTGTTCCTTAAAAAGTACCTTAGTTTGTGGTTTAAGTACCGCCGAGTTCCAATTAGGTAGCAACTTACCAGCCACGGCAAGGGGTTAAAGTAGAATTTTCGGACGGGAGGGCAACGGCTGCAGGTTCGAATTCTGTGCAAGGAGTGGGCGTTTTTTATCAAGAGCTTCATTATCGCGTGGGAGAAAGTTCGCACCATAACCGAAATCAACTTATCCGTAATTATTTAACTATAATGACCATAAACCTAACCATCCTATATGCAATGAAAAGCGATGGCATAAATGAGTCATTAGGATCAAAGTAAGTCAACATTTTTTTGTTCCACGTAGGACTAAAAGGGTTTATTCTTGCCATATAAAAGTAACAAGTCAAAATAATAGAAATATATACCATCAGTTTATGGATGTTTAAGGTACGAATTGATCCTATCTTGATGATTTCTTTCACATCTCCCCAAAAGTAATTTGGCTTTATTATGCTACTCAGAACCTAAAGTATTTTTCGGATGCATTTGAGACAAATGGTTTGACAATAAAATGTTTGAAAGTTCATGGAGCAATGATAGAAGGAGAAGCACGTGAATGGGGAGAACGAACTGCGATAGCTCAGCGACAATACCTTTAGAACTGTATCAGAATTAACCGACAACTTCTAGAGTTCGGGTACCGACGATGAAAGATTTTAGATTCTAGCTACGTAGCTAAGTCGAATTCAATCGCTTCCTGGAGAAGAATTCTATTGGCCGGCTGCTCTGATCTGTATTACTCCATGGTTTCTCTTAGCAATACCAGACGAATGCCGGAACAGCACCATAACAAACGGGCCACGAACTGCTCATATTATCTCCTTTTTTCATCTTAACAATATTTTTCTGCTCTTTTATGGAAACACCCTTACATTTACTACACTACTATACGTATATGTCTGGAGACCAATAGCGAGCTTGGAGCTTGTTTCGTCTGGAAGATGGGATACCTGAAGAGAGGAAAACCTCGCAAGTCGCCGTATAGGTCAGAGCCGAATATCGCATTCCGACGGCGAAGAACAGTCACTTACAGAGAAAAACTTGCACCACATTAATGGGACCAAAGACCAAAATAATTGACGCGTTCGGGAACAATAATAAATATTCACCCTCTCGCTCACTCACATCGCGCGGAGTTAATCGACGTGGGTAGATTACTCGCGCCGACAGTCCCCTTAGCTAAAAAGGGTTTGCCCGCTTCGCCCCGCGCTCCGAGCCACAGTGCGTCGCCGTCTCCGCGCGCCGCGGCGCCCTTAAATCTCAGGCGGAACGCACCGCGCGCACATTTAATTACGGAGAACAAAGCGAGCGACCCCGCGAGGGCGCGACGCGGCCGCGGGCGGGAGAGGGGGGAGGTGGACGAGAGGGTGGAAGCCGGATCGGAGCGGAGCGGAGCGTGTGGGGGAGAAAGAGAGGAAGGCGATGAAGGCCCCCTGGGGAGGACATATAGTACGCACGGCGGCGAGTGAAGTCGAAATGCGCTAAGAGAAATTTTACGTGGAATAAAAGACATATGGTTGCCGCTGAATGGAAGATGTCTGATAGGCGAGAGGGGGTAGGTGGGCACGAGAGAAATATAGTAAAAAAGAATGGGGAAGAAAGAGGAAGGAGAGAGAAAGGAAAGAATATATATATAATATATTTAATATCACTGAAAAAATGATTTATTGAATGGAGGGAATTTAACAACGCGGTGACATCAGTGGAACATGACGAAGGCTGAGAGGAACTTGGAATATGAAAAAGAAAATTAAAAATATGTAGAATTTTGGATCATATCATTTTATATTAGAAATACTTTTAGCGAAGATTGAAAAGTTTCTGTGTAGGTGCTAGTGAGAAGTGAATATGTATGGAAATACGAAAATAAGATGAGATATATACCAGTGCCATACGACATATTGGTGAATGTGAGAGCGAAAATATAAAATTACAAGAGATACTAATGCATTAAAGCTACAAGAGATAGTAATATATTGCTTTGAAAAGAAATACAAGAATTTTGTTTGAGGTTTTATTTTTTTAGCAATTACGTCATAAAATATAAGTTTTAAGGAATCGAAATGAAAACTGATTTTTAAAGATTTAAAATTATTCACGTGATACAAAAATCCACAAAATTATGATGTATATCATTTCCATGAATTAAGTTGCTTGAACACAAAAAACAACGACGAGCTTCCCACAGCCATATGCAAACTGAATTTTACGAGAAAAATTACCACCGGGACCCATCTAGAGGAACAATTGGAATCACGTGCTCCAGGAGGAGGGCACCGAATACAAGTGTGGTGCACCGAGTGCAAAAGCCCCGGGGGCAGTCGGGGGCGACGGTGGGCGTGGCGCCGGTGGCGGAGCGGGGGCGGTCCGCGCGCCGGCCGATGCTTAACGGCGCGAATATCGCGAGCGTAAATTACGCCAATTACGCGGAGCGGAGCGGGGAACGGGAACCGGGGCGGGGCCGAGCGGGCGGGCCCCGCCGCTGAGTTATCGCGAACTTAATTCGCGCGAGCGCGGCCGGGCATTTGCAACGAAGCGGCGCCGATACGCGCGCCGCGCCGCGCCGCAGAGAGACCAATCCGCGAGTCCGCCGCCGGGGAAGCGGTGCTGGACTGGGGATGAATAGGAAGGGGTGGAACATAGCACACACAGAGGCAGGAGGCGGGGGTGGGCGGGGCGGTTGGAGAGCGGGAAATGGCGGGTGGAGTGAGGCAGCTAGAGAGCGACGTGTGACGGATAAAGAGTAAGGCTTGTCTGATAGAGAAGAAGGTGTGTCGAGTAGAGAGCAAGTTGCCGAGGGTAAAGAGTATTGTATGGCAAATGGAAAGAGGCAACGAGTAGCGAGATGGGCGACGGTGAGCGAGTGGACAATGCGTGGAAGATAAAGAGCGAGGCTTTGCAGCTACAAAGCAACGTGTGACGGGCATATAGCAAAGGCGTCGTGGGTCGAGAGCAAAGTCTGATCTCTATAAGACACTCGTTACTCTCTACGCGTCAAAGGGTCAGGTAGAAAAAAAGTTTTGTGGTAGAGAGCAAGGTGTGGCAGGTAGCGAGCAAGTTATGGCTGGTAAAGAGCATAGTACGGTGAATAGAGAGCAAAATGTGGCGGGTACAGAGAAAAGTGATGCGATACAGAGCAACGTGTAGCAGATGGAAAATTGTGGTGGTCAACTTATGGTGGAGAGCAAAGTGTAGCGAGTAGAGACCAAGATATGGCGGGTACAGAGCAAGGTATGGCTGGTAGTTATCATGGTGTGGCGGTAGAGAGCTATGTAACGCGGGAAGAAATGAAGATGGGGTGGATAGAAAACAATATGTTGCAGGTAGAGAGCGAAGTGTGGCTGGTAGGATAAAGACGTGTCGGGTAAAGCGAAAGACGAGACGGATGAAAATAAGTTATGGGGGTGAGAAGAGAGCTAAGATAGAAGGCGAGATGTTAGAAATGTGCGAAATTAGACATGAGAAATTAAGAAGTAAACTACTAATAAGACAGAGAAAATGAAAGGAGCGCGCACAGTTTTAGATAATGAGATGCGGAAAATGTTGAGAGCATGCGATTGTGAGAGGAAATGGAAGGAACGGGGATGAAGATATGAAAAAAAAGAAACGAAAGGAAAATGGAAATGAGAGTAGCGGTAGAGCGTTAGAATGTATCGCGATATGTGACGTACAATCCGCGCAAGGCGGCTGTGGCGAGCGGCGCGGCGCGAAGTCAGGAGGCGACGGCGGCTGCGGCGAGAGGTCGTCGGGGGTTCGCGCTCCGGAATAATAATAACAGCGCGAATAACACGGAAATTATATATAGCGCTAGCAGAGCGCAGGGTAATGCAAATACCGGCTCCACTTTATTGCGAGACACGCTCTCTGTCCCGCCCACCCGCTCTCTCACCCACCCGCTCCCTCTCTCGCGCACCCACTCGCCCTTTCTCTCTTTCTCGCTCTCTCTCTCTCTCTCACGCGCGTCCTCCCCCTCTCTCGCCCGCTCGCTCTCTTGTCCGCCCACTTGCTTTGTCACCCGTCCGCTCGCTTTCTCGCCCTCCCTATCGCTCTCTCACCTGCCCGCTCGCTCTCTCGCCCGTCCCCTCGCTTTCTCGCCCAGCCATTCGCTCTCTTGCCAGTCCTGTCACCCTCTAGCCTGCCCGCCCTCTCTGTCACTCGCCCGATAGCTCTCTTGCCCACTCGTTTGCTTTTTCAATCGCCCGCCCACTCGCTTTCTCGCTCTATCCCCATTTTCTCTCTCTCACGCTTGTACCTCGCCTGCCCTCACCTTCCCTCTCCTCGCCCTCCCACACTCACTACCTCCCCCCCCGTCGTGCCGCATACCCCTCCAATCCCTCACCTCCTGCAACCAAAAGGAGAACGCCGCCCGAATGAAATATTTCTTATTTGTAAGAGCATTACCGCTGCGTTATTGTTTCTACTGTTTAATACCTCAGGAACGAAATGATTTAATAAATGTCCTGTCGTAAATTGCGGTGTAATAAATTCTCGCCGTAGCTAAACGTTTGCAGAGACCGTTGACCTTTGGCGAGGATAAATGGCTTTCGTACAGTTCTGCAAAAGCCCAAGCCGAATCCTCTACAATTAAATAGGGCGAGGAGGATCAATTTGATTCTACTTAAGTGAAATAAGCGAGGTGGCCATCACAAAATTGTTACCTGCCTTCCGGGAAAATGTGCATCGAAGCCCTGTGAAAAGGAGCTCGTCCATGGAAGCGTGCCAATGTAGGGGATGGGCACTTCCGTTCCGACTGTCGACGGCGGACTCCGGTTAATGGAGCGCCTTCAGAACAGCGCCATTTCACGAGACATTTTATATCTGGTCACGTGACTCACAAATGCAGTAATGTACTAATTGTATTGAGCTGTAAGTTCGTATTACGGAAAATAATTTTCCTAATAATTAATGTTGTGGGGGCAACGTTTTAACTAAACTCTCTAATAGAGATCTGACGAGTTGTGGGAGATAAAAGAAAGCCGAAGAAGAATACTACTCGGTTGTAGAACCAAAAATGTTTGGAATAAGTCGAAAAGCAAATATTCTTTATTTCTAATGACAATTCAATAGTTTGATTGTATAACGTATGTAACTTATGCTAATTTATACTTTACTTAACTACAAGTGAATTTCATGGGTCGTAAATGAATGCATACTATTTTCCGTATTGTTATTCTCGAAATACATCTTCAATGAATCTCTTTTACTTAGAACGTTTCATGTCTCATTAATTTACAATTTAAAGAGAATCTCAGGTAGGTGAAACCATATTATATCATCGTTTCAGGAGATGTATTGTCCAAGGTTGAACAGTTTATCGAAAAATTCGAAGTAAAGGTTTCATTAATTTTTATTAATAAGCTAACTAACAAAGAAGAATGCACATCATGTGCAATGATTTACCTTTTCATTTCTTGTCGAGACTTCTCTCGGTTTGCCTGACTCCGTTGTGATCTGTAGGCGCTTGGAGAACTACCAGAGTGTCTGAGATACCGAACCGCTCCCTGGATCGATTTTGCAATGTAAGCCCACATAACTTCGCAAACCTCTCTGAGGTAGCCCTTGGTTTCATCTAGTTCAGGGGTAGCCAAACATCCCCCATATGTCAAAGCGCAAACTTTCCTCGCTCCCAGGCACTTTTTTATTCGGTAATGGATAAAGCAAGTGTTATATTGATTTTTTACTCTTAACTTTTTTACACTTACTTTGTTTTAATTGTAACAAGTAACGAGCATCTCTTTGATAATATGACTTTTGTTTTGCGTTGCGATATCTCATATGGAACTTTACTCACTTTTTCAGATTATTGAGCAACAGATCCAGTACTATCCATCTACATGCGTTTTAAATTTCCAGACATAGCAGAAAATAATCCTTTATCTGTAGAAGGAACATGTTTCATTCACGAATTTCGTTCAAGACAACTAGATCTCTTACCATTATTGCTCAATATTTCATAGCAAATAACACAATTAGGAAGTTCGACGCCATCCTTAAGCATAAAAATAAATCCAATCATCGTTACTTGCGTTTTTATGAGCCCATCTTGAACAATATTTCATATCATATAAATACAATAATATATTGAGCCGGCGTGGATTCCCGAGGTCATTAAGGCTGTAGGGGTCGTAGCTGCCTCGGCTCAGGGGTGACGGGTTCGAATCCCGCCTCGAGTTTGGATGTTTGTTACTTGTGTTCCCCCTTCAGTTAACAATCATAGTGGTCGCTATATGACCTAGTAGTTCAAAGGCCACCTTAAGAAAATCGTATAATGCAACAAGGCAACTACGATAAAATTCAACTCTTCCTAACACGCCATGTATATACGGCTCAATGGGTCCCGCGCCCCCTGAACTTACCTCTTGGGAATCAGAGATGTAGTTCCGCATTGCCTCACGTAGCCCATGGGCTCCTTTTAGCCTTGTTCTCTTGGCATTAGAAAGACGCATTGGATCTCCATCTGGATCCAACGCACTGGACACTTCAAATCGCACTGGATCTGCATAGCGCACAAAATTCAGTTAATGGTAACACTTTGGAAGTAATTAGTGTTTTAGAGGTATTGTCCATGCCACAAACAAAACTGTAAACACATATCCTTTACTCGGGATTCAAACCTATGTCCAGTATCCGTGTTCTTAAGCACACTTGCCTAAAGTTCGTGCCACCACATGTCGAAAGCTTAGAACTTGTTCCGGCTGGAACGGTACCACACACACACACACACACACATACACACACACACACACACACACACATATATATATATATATATATATATATATATATATATATATATATATATATATGAGAGAGAGAGAGACAAAGAGAAGGCGAGTGGAAGAGGAACACCACCTCCCCTTGGGATATACTGTAATACACACTATACTTTCGGAGCTAAAGATTGCTGTAAGTGACGCACTCTGAACCATAAATTCGTTTACTTAATATCCACTTCATTTTCGTTCACTCACAAATTGCCATGGCTCTGTCCTCATTGTCCCAGCCCGCAAGAACAATCGCCCACCATTGCTGCCGCGAGCAACAGCGATGGTGGCGGCGGCTGCGGCGGCGACAATCCACTCGAGGAAAACTTTGCAGGGCTCCAGCGTGTCGTGTCGCGGCGTGACCTGCCGCGCCCCGGCACGCCCGTCCTCGCCGCCCCGCCCCTCGCCGCCCCCGCGCTCCAGAGGCACCGGATTGAGAATAATGTCAAGGGCGTGTCGGGGCGATGGGGCGAGAAGACGCCGCGCGGTGGGGTTTCGCCATGCATCACCCCCTCCCCCCCACGCTTTACTTCGGGGTGCGCGCACAGAAGCATCAACCTCGGGGCCCTCTCTTCACTAATGAATGCAATAAAAATAACATAATAATAACAATAATAATAAAACAAAAATAATAATTATAATAATAATAACAATAATAATAATAATAATAATAATAATAATAATCTGTTATGAATTCAATAAAATATCTATTTACATTCAATTTTTAATAAAAATAATATTTACTCACTAGCTCGAAATTTTCATGTTTTACTGTTTTGAAAATTTAAAATTAAAACAAAAATTTGACTTCTCAAAAAACTCTTCAATTTCTTGAAAAAAAAGTTCGTTTTACTTGAGAGGTGATCTCCACTGTTGTTTGACATAAATAACATATCTACTTTCTTTCCTTCCTACTTACGGACAGCTCCTATTTATCTCGTAAAATACTGTTTTTAATCAAATTGATATGGTTTCTTCGAAATTATTAACTAACTCAAGGCTATTTTAACAATATTACTCATGTTAACTTTATTATTTGCCAAATTTTTGAACTTTCCGTTTCAACATTTATCTTCTCTCAACTGTACGAATGACCCCTTCATGGTGTCCGCCCCAACACAGAAGTGTTTGTGATTTATGCTCTTCTATCAACTTAAAAAACACATTCTCACGCCCCTTCCCCAAAAAACCAATTCGTAATATCCAACAAAGAAGTATATATTTTTAGTTACTACTGAAGTCAAACATTACATGGTTCACCTCAGCACTTACACATTCTTCCCATTGAACTATCGTCTATTAAATACGATGTTCTGAGACAGTGTTTGCCAACTCAATGCTCTATGACGTCACATAAATCTGCTCGTTTGCTCCGAACTGACCAGTGAAGTCAAGGAAGTGCCGATGCAGCGGCGGGTACACAGTGCTCCAATTATGGAATGGATGTATGGGAAAAGGTTCACTTGAAAAAAAAAGTATTATGTAGAATGTTTATGATTCGAAAACAACATAAATAATTATGAAATTGAACTTACAGTATTACATAACTCAAAGAAATATCCGACTCTATCTTATCCAGTACTGTAACTCCACTTCCATTCTTATATTAGATAACATTTTTGGAAAAGACAGGTTTAATATAAACAATGATGTTTTAAAAAATGGCTTGTGACATTATAACAAATTAATGTTTACAAAAACAAAAATTAATGTTAACAAATATACACCTGGTAGGGCTTACGTGATATAATTTGGACCCTAGAATTAAGCTTGATTATTTAATCTGTATATTTTGTTAAAAATAAATTTTAAACAAGCCCGTCATTAGCAATATTTGAAAAAAATACATTTTCCTTCCCGCGGGAAAAAAAGCTTATTTGCTGTCAACAAATTGCAAGTATGATTTTTCTGCATTACAAACAAAATAGTTAACTTGCTCTTACCTCTACTCTTACCATTACAAGCAAAATGAGAGTTTAACAAAACGTACGCGTAGTGACGTGGG